TTTTAGATTTTTGGTCTCGATTTTCTCTATTTTACTTTGCAAATCCTTACATTAATTGATTGTTTTGATTGATTTGTAGGTGGGTTTGCTTCTCACTTTGGAAAATGCTGTGAAAGATGAATTCAATCAAAAGAAATATTCTCGTATACCATGGCACAATGGTCATTGTACTCTTTGAGGATTATCTTGTAAAGACATTGTCCGAAACTTCATTCAACGTTGGAACCATGAAAAGGTTGGACTTACGTACTTGTTTATAGCTCGTGATTTTTTTTTTTTAATAAACAGAAATTACCATTACTTATGCAACAACACCACATGGTTTTAGCTTATTAGATGGGAAGAAGCAAAGAAAAAATTTTTTTTAAAAAATTTTTTTTTTTTTTTTTTTAGAATTAATGATTGTTTGAATACTATATATGTAAAACATTCAGTCTAAGGATAGTGGATGTTGTGTTTTACTTGAATTAATTGCTGAGTATCTAGGATTGAAAATATAGATTGTTCAATTATTCCTTCAATTGTCACTTCTTTTAAACTCTTCTATTGCAAATGCTCAATTCTTTGTTTTCCCTTCTTCCCTATTTCTCATAGATGAAAATAAAAATATAGTGTTGGCTGTATCTGCTTTATAGTTCATATTTTATGGTTGATGATGAATAGAATACAGATACTTTACATGTCATATTTATTTTTTTCTCTCTTTTTTAGAAAGATTGCTTTGATATATTTTTCTTTTTAAGAAAGCTCATTTTCCTGTTTCTCACGTGAAAGGGAGAAAGAGAGTGAAGAAATTCTCTCTGAAAATTTATTATTTTTTGTTTATTTGTCAAAGAAAATCAACTAAATACTTTCTTTGCTTCCCAAAAATTCATTCAATGTAATTCTCTCTTGTGAATACTCAATACTCAAGTAAGTCACCACACTAATATCACCTTCAAGAAAATTCAAGCCATGCATTGCATGGCCAGACACTAGTATATATATAATACACTTCACTCACAAAGCAATAGAGCTCATAGATATAGCTAAGCGTTAGGTATAGTAATGGGCCAAGCCCAAAATCAATAGGTGGTTTAACAATAACAAGCCATCCAATAACTAGGGATGTGGGCCATGAGCAGTTGTAATTAATTAGACTACTTCCAATAGTCCCAAATAGTTTTAGGTTTGAGTCATTTCATTTGGAAGTCGATATTCTAGTTCAGTCAATTGATCAATGGCGATCGATGAAATTATACCGATTTGACATCAGAGCCTAAAAGGTCGTTTGACAACAATTTGCCTAACAATTAGTTAATTGGATCTTAAAAATTTTTTTTTTGCTTAACATATCTTGACAATTATTGGAGCTGCTAAACCCTTGGTTTAAATCCATTTTGTAATTACTCGAAAAATCTAAACATTCTTTGAATTATCCTATTCAAATAGGTGAGGCCCGACTGCGATTTTCTAAACTAGCATCAAGAAATTTTGGAGTGAAACTAAACTTTCCTACAATTATTCTTCCATTACTTCTACGGATAAGTAATAGGTTTCTTAGTCTGCCGGGTTGCCTCCTTTCAGTTGATAATGGAAAATAATAGCATGGACATCTGTGGTTACCGATGAGTTTTATTGGTTCTGGAAATGTTAATCGTTTAGTTTAATATTGTTGGTATTAAGATTTTTGTTTTCATCCGGAGATGTTTTACTAAATACTTTACTGAATCTTTTGCCTTCTTTACAGTGTACAGCTCAATCGGAAGTACCAAATTACGAAAGCTCATCAAAAATTCCCTTTTGTCATTTATGTATTGCTTCTGTTGGGCTGTGAAGCAAAATCAACCATATGGGGACGTTGATGGAAATTTGGGCCTGGCCAGCTATTTTGACATTGTCTGATAGTTCAAATTAAATGGGGCCCAAATCCGGACCCAATCAATGGAATACATCTCATTTTTGAGAGTTAATTTAATCAATGACCATTGAACTTTGCTATGATTACTACTTGCTCATTGATCTTTGAAAGATTACTTGTTGCTTACTAAATTCCGTCACATGTTACTACTTGCTCACCGAATTTAAAAGTTTTCTCGTTGCTCAACTAAATTTGAACAAAGTTACTCGTTAATCACCGAATTTTGCTATAAGTAATATTGATGGAAATGATATAGGTGATTAATAGGTAGGTTTATTCAAATTTAGATGAGCAACAAGTGACTTTTTAAATTTTGGTGAGCAAGCAGTAACATATGACGGAGTTCAATGAGCAAAGAGTAACCTTTTGGATTTCGATAAGCAAGTAGTAATCTATAACAAAGTTCAGTGACCATTGATTAAATTAAGTCCATTTTAGAAGCGTAACTTTAGTTATTTTTGTTGCCTTCGAAGTTGGATAAGTTGTCAATTGCTCTGTACCCCTAATCACCGTCCGAGTTCAACGATGGGTGCTTGGAATATAAATAGCACTTTACACTGTTGTCCTAATTCATTCTTGAGTCCTCTGATTTTCTATGTTTCTCTAGAACTTTTTGTTCTCTTCGTCTCCAGTCATCTTCAATCTCTAGTTGAAAGATTTCTTGTTGTTTCTTATTGAAATAGTGAGTCTTGTGATTCTAAAAGAGAAGAAGAGTCAATTGAGATCTTATGTTCCATAGAAGCAACTCTGACTGTTCGTTTGAGAATTTGGATTTAGGTTATATGTTTTATATAGAAGGGTAAACCTATGATATTTGATGATTTTGGTAATGTTGTGAGTTTTGTTAAGTTTTCAGAAACGATTTGTTCAGATTTGTTCTATAGTTTTCGATTTTCATGTAACAACGTCCTATATATAAATTGTGGAGAATTGGAGGTTAGTAGTAACAATTTCTTTTGTCTATAATTTCTAACATATTATTTCAGTAAATGAATAAAGCTAGACTTCCAGAATTCTTTCTATATCCTGCTGCCAGCCTCAGAGAATAGTTGATGTGGTTAGTTGGGCAGGGCAACTTTTTCACGGTAAAATCTTTTCCAAATTCGATCTATGGTGAAAGAATTTTTTTGACATAATGAATGATCGTCACACACATTAGCGGGAGGCCCACTTCTTTTTTGGACTTTTTTTATTCAAGTGGGGCCCAATCTCTTTAATTGTTTAAAGTGATGACATACAAAACCACTAAAATTGACACCACCTTAATTAATGATAACTGGACAACAGATTTTATTACAAATATGGTGACAGAGCCATAATTGTCTCAAATTGTGCAGGATGTTTCATCTGAGTCTTATACTATTATTTCTGGTACTAATAATAGGATTGTTTATACATTAACGTTGGTATCACTCCATTGAACTTCTTGTATCATCCATGATTCGTGACCACATTGAGTAATGAACTTTTCATTTTCATTAAAAAAAACAAAAATAAAAATGGTGTTATTGCAATATCTTTAAATTAAAAGATTAAAGTCCTTTTTTTTTTTTAATTTTTTTTTTACCCATTTAGGATTTAGTAAGTTCACATGTCACAGCTATTACTTGGGAAATCTATTGTTGTAAAGTCGATCATTAAGTAATTTTCTTCAATTCAAGATGGGATGGTGAAATTTTTAAACTAAACTGAAGTTCATTTATCCAACTGAGACGAATTAAGGTGCGACATTTTAATATCGTAAACGTTTAAGCTATCTAAATCTTGGTTAAAAGTCATGTGACCCTCAAACTCCATACCTCTTTCATACATATAGAGGGTTAAATTGCTACTCAAACAATATGTTAGAGTCTAAAAATGCAATTTCTCCGAATCGTTATGCAGTGCGCATAAACTGGGCCAGCTGCTGCTGCATCTTCTATTTCCTTAACTTATTCAACTGCTCCTTTTTCAGGTTTCTAGATATTTATTTATCTCATTCTTTTGAGATAAGTTTTGAAAATTGGATTGGATCTGATTCGAAGTTCAACTCGATTTGGATTGCTCGACTGATCAATCTGCAAATGACCCGATCAAATGGACCATTTCAACGAGCGATCCAATATTTTGAATGAATAGATGATCGAGTCAAGTTTGAAAACTAAGAGTTTTAACCATGAAAAAACTCGACATAATAGAAACGTTTTATATCTTTAAATTAATTCATCAAATTTGATGATAAATCTATGGGTGTTCAAGTCTAGATCAATATTAGTATTGGGGTGAATCTACTTCACGAGTATCGTCAGCATTTTTAAGGGGATAGCTTACGATTTCTCCCATTCTTATCAATATGGATCTTCTTTCAGCATACGAAGAAACTCCATAATAAACATCCTCATTGACAACATTGGTTAGCTAAGTTGTCAATTCAAGCTTTGAAATATGATTGTGCTAGTGTTGATAGTTGATACCAAGCTCAAGTAATTCTTTTAAGTTAATTGAATGGACGAATTCCAACTTGTTTCATCCATTAATTTTATATAAATAAATAAGATAGTCGAATTTTCAGTTCATCAATAGACTAAACTATTTTTAGGGGGCGTAGCACCTTTCATACCAAAATTTAGGCTTTTACATGGGTGTGGGTAATGAAGTAATTTAATTATAATCTTGCCCATCTCATTTACCCACGAATTACAAAGTGATAATTAGCCTCGTTTGATTTTGCTAACAATCAATTTTGAGAAAGTTAATGAAATGTATGATTTAAAAGTTGAAAAAAAAATTGTGGGTACGATGAAATATGTAGTAAAATTAATTATAAATTTTAACTTAATAATTTGTTAAATTTTTTTGGCTAAACCAAATATGAGTTTGATAATGTCATTAACAAATCTTGAAACAAAATAATGAAGCTACAGACATATGCACGTGAACATCTGCAATGAAGTGTACCCCTCTATAACACTAAAATATTGGCGAGTGTACAAAACGAACCCCGTCAGTGTCTCATCGCACCCCACCCCCACGCAATTGGGTGCTGATAAAGAAAAGAAAAACAACAGATGGAACCGCCAAACATAACCCTTCAAGTTGCTGTCTTGCTTTAAGACCATTTGATCATAGGTGGGTGATTTTTTCTCTCTTTCAAAACTCTCCACACCTTTTTCTCTTCCTTTTTTTCTGCTATGGATACTGCTAAGTGGCCACAGGTAAATGAAAACACACCTTTTTTTCAATGATATCATGATCACATCTTTCTAGGGTTTGGATTTTCTCGAGTTAGCTTATTTTTGCTTTTGATTAACTGAAACAGAAAAAAGAAGTATTGATGACAAAAGTTAAAGCAACTTTTGCTAACAGATTACCAGACTCCACTACTAAAACTTTTGCTTTGAATTTCTGATTCACATGGACAGAAAAAAGTTCTCAACTTTTTCTTTCACTTTTTCAACATCAGTACAGAAAAAAGCTAATTTTAAGTTGTTTTATTTCTTTGTTCAATGTCTCAAAAGTAAAGGAATTCACTTATTTTTGTTTCGCTTGTTTGTTTGTTTACTGCTTCTGAATCTTCTTTTTTTCTGCAATTAATTCTTGGTTTTGATATAACACACTGATGGTGTTTTCTTTTCTATTTATTTAGGGTATTGAAAGAAAGCCAATTAGGCCACAGAAAGACTGTCCAAGATGCAACTCTTCTAACACAAAATTCTGTTATTATAACAATTATAGTCTGTCTCAGCCAAGACACTTTTGTAAGACTTGTAGAAGGTACTGGACTGAAGGGGGTACTTTAAGGAATGTTCCGGTGGGTGGCAGTTCACGAAAGACCAAGAAATCATCTTCGTCGTCGTCGTCATCAAAGAAGCTTCCTGCAGATCTAAGCTTTTCTCAGTCTTCTGATCAAAACCCTAAGATTTATGAGGGTCAGAATTTGAATTTACCTTATCCATCCAAAAATATGGTTCCTGGATTTGTTGCTGTACCCTATAGTAATGACAGCACAACCCTAAATTATCCAAACCCTAGTTTTTCTTCCTTTCAATCTCATAATCAAGTAATGGAATTTCTCACTTCAAGGGAATTGATCAGTTCTAATCTGAACTCCATGCCAGTTTCGGGTTCAGGTTTGGGTTCTAACACTATGGATCCGCCATCTGGATTTCCTTTGCATGGATTCAAATTGCCAAGCGTTAATTTTTCCTCAGATGGGCTTGAAGATGGTTATGGAAACAGGGAAGGTGGTTTTCAAAATAAATACCCTAGATTCCCTTTCTCCATTGAGGATTCAAAACCAGTTCTGAAGTCCGAGTTCGAGCAGGATAGAGACAGAGAATCCATCGATGGATACTGGAACAAAATGCTGGATGGAGGATCATGGTGAATAATATCTGCAGATTTTAGCCTATTTCCTGTTTCTTGTTAGTGTTGATTTCTTTGTTTTGCCTGATTTGTCTAACCATATCAGAGTATGTTTGGTAAGTTGAATTGGACTACACTTAACAGCGTTAAGAATAAGATTTTAACAATTCTCGAGCTCAGTCGAGTCTTGTCCAATCCATGGTACGAAACATACTATTGATGTATAGAAGCTTTCTTTTTGGTGGATTGGTTATAAAACTTATCATAAAGTGTTGTCTGAACCTAGTCGATGATGCATGCTGAACTGTTGCTATAGTTAAGTTTGATTTATATATGGTAAAATTTGATCTTACTTTGAGTGCAGTCAAATATTTTCCTTAATTGTAATTTTTTTTTTTTGTCACTGTTGCTGGATTTATGCCCCCCAGTTTCTTCTTATCCACAAGTAAATGCTACAAGTTTTAAGCCAAGATTTTAAAGAATCTCTAATTTCAGTCAAGTAATATGGATTAGGTAATATTAAACAATATTAGAGATTCTGTGAAGTTTTTTGGATAAAAATTAATGATATATATCATTGAAAAATTGATAAAAATTGTGAATTTGTGATTAAATTAAAGTAAAATGCAGGAAGAGAATCTTACTCTCTTTTCCTCATTTTTCTCTTCTTCTTTTGCTTTCTTTCCTTTACCAACAGGTCATATTGTCAGGCCTTAGCTGAAACCCTGTATAAATTTCTTTAGATTTCTGGGACCATTAGAGTACAGTGTTCATCAATCAAAAGTAGAATATAGATTTCTGCAGGAGAACAATGATGTACAACAAAATACCGATCGTCCATCAGTCATAGCTTTACAGCACATGGAAGAGCACATTGTTTAAGATATGATTAAATTTGCTGACAATAAGGAGCTGAGATTTGATGTCATCCATTACCTATCTCTTCTATTGTCCTTCCACAGCAGCCGATGCGTGAAGGTGATAAAATTATTCATTAAATTAATTTTTTTATTTTTTCCAAAGTTATTTTTAATCACACTTTCCTATAATGAATATTTTATATGTAAATTTATAATTTTTTCCTACTTTTTAATTACACATTTTTTTTAAAAAAAAAGGAAAAAAAAAAAGAAGAAGAATATATTATTTTAAAACTCATTTTTTCCAAAAAAAAAAAATTCATTAAAATGAATGTCAAACAGAGACTTAGCCCCCTTTTGGTCCCCATTTTCCTTCTCATTCTTTTTCTCTTTCTTATTTTCAATCACATAATATTTCATAAAATAATACTACACGCAAATAAAAAACTTTTCATTCATTTTCAACTACAGATTTTTCAAAAAATACTATTCCAACAATTAAAATTTGAAAAGAATGGGGGACCAAACGGGGCTTAATTGGAAGTCAGTTAATAGAAGCAACGTATTTCAACTCAGTAATAAATAATATATATTATCAAATTAAGTGAAAGATAATTATTTTTTGTTAACGATAACGAATTAAGTCTTGTTATAATAAACTTGTAAGGAATCCCTTGATTGACTATACATTTATAATAATGTAATAATGCTTGATAAACTTTTATGTTGATGATCAATCTACTATAATTCATTTAACTTATTGATTACACTAAACCAGTTCAGCAAGGTAACAAGTAAAATATTCAACATTTATATTTATTTTACTGTTCAATATTACATCAAACACGTGTACGTACAACATTGTCTCCCTGTTTGGCTCCCATCAAAATGATACTCCCTCAATCTCATTTATATAGGCTGATTTTGTTTTTCATACTGATTAAAAAAATCTTATTTAATGTTATTGAAAAAGTAATTTTTGCCAAAAAAACTTTCATAGTTTACCCTTATTTAATTATCAACAACTAATAGTAAATTATTGTTGATAATTAGTAAAGAAATTGAATGATTGGTTATAACTTGATAAATTAAATAAGAGTATATTAGTAGACAAACAAAACAAAACATTTTTAATAAAGAAACGGGACTATATAATTGGGATAAGAAAATAAGGAAAATCAACCTATATAAGTAGGAGGGAGGGAGTAATTTATTTTTCTCTTTCTTCTTATCAGTCATACATTTTTTAATAAAATAATGTTACACGTAATTCTAATTTTTGTTTTCCTTTTTTAACAACACATTCTTTAAAAAATACTATTTCAACCATTAAAATTTCAAATAATGGGCCCAAACGGGGCACGTATGTTCCATTTTTAACATCCACCCAACAAATTGTCTCCATTGCGGGCATGATTAATACTCTTATTTTCTTGCGTGATGATTACTCCTACCTTTATTTCACATTACAAAGTCGTGTAAAAGACTATTGCCCTGTTTGGGGCTCATTATATAAAATCAATTTTCCTAAACTTTATTTTAATATGAATATTTTATGAAATTTACAATTGCTATCAACTTTTAAAAAATACATTTTATCGACTTTTATCAAAAATCTAATTTTTAACTAAATCAGATAAGAGATATATTAGCTTATTTATTTAAAAACAGAATATTGGACAAAATTATTATCACAGAAAGTAAAACTTATTATTAACTATCTTATTCAGTGCTTACATATTGAGTAGTGATGTGCCACAAAGTTAAATAGTTTCATCTATTGACATTCATTCATAATCATTTATCAAACTGTTTCCCCATTTCAGGGCATAATTATTACATTCACTTTTAACGTCATATTACCCACTCCATTATGTGAACAGAAGAAACATAGCAAACCTAACTTGGTTGGCTATGTATTTTTTATATATATAAATGGGACCCAGAAAACATTCCCCCGGCAAGCGTGCCAAAGAATTATCCGCACCACTCAGCAAATCTTCTAAATTTTGGCCCACCAACATTATTTTATTTGTAATTCACAGTGCTCTAAACAACAGTCAATTTTCTGAGTTTTAGGCATTAATGAATTTACCTTTTTTTATTGGACGAAGCAACTTTTAATTACAATTAAACATGTATTACATTATGATTTATTCTCTTATTTGCAATTAGTTGACTACCAGCTATTACCAAGGATCAATCTAAACCATACAACTCTTGAGACAGTCATCCTCAACTTCAGATATTCTTAATGTAACAGTAGAGGTCCTCACAGGAGTAGTCAAGCACCCGCAGTTGAGCTCATTGGCAGATCCAGCCATGAGTTTGGACACGAGCTACAATACATTTGGTTTATCTCAAAATAATAATAATAATAATAATAAATAAATAAATGGACATTTGCAGGGGAGGGTACGGGCTGTAGTCCGTGCCTGTATCCGCCCCTTGTCGAGCTGAGAAAATTTTTACACAAACCAACTTGATTGAGAAGCTTAAAGGGTGCTCATTTTGGACAGTTTATCAAGATGAGATTGTCAGGCCCCTTTTGCTAGCCATTTTCTTCAAAATTCATTTTTCTCTCAACTTTTCAACCACACATTTTTTATTAAAATAATATTACATATAAATAAAAAAATTTCCTTATTTTTCAACCACACATTTCACATTAATTTACTATTCTAAAATGCATTTTTACATAAAAATGTCTATCAAACACCCCGGAACAAAATTAACACTAAATTCTGTACAAAAGAAAATATAACAGTCTCCCTATCTAGATGACAGCGGAAATAGTGAGAATCTCGTGCAATATACCTGAGCAGCATGTCTGACTGTGCTCTTACTTGTTTTGTCAATCATGATTTCCAATTCAGTCTTGGCAGAAGTAATTTTAAACACGGCCAAGCATGAGACAGATTTCTACCCCGAGATTCACTCGGCAGATGACTTACTGCAAATTCCTCGTGAAATTACAATACCAAAAGCACTATCCCGAGGTTTGCATTCAATAAAGATCGATTGACTCAAGCACTCAGCAGGCTTAAATGTGCAGAGTTGTCAGCCTTTCCAAATTGACTTGCGGCCCATATAAAAGAGGCAGAATTTCCAACCAAGAATCACCTTATGTCCTCGTGTATTATCACCATGGGGGGTGATTTTGTCCTTCCATTTACATGTCCAATAAGAAGCGACAAAAACTCCCCACATTTCCACCTGAAGAAATGACCAAACTATCAGCCAGTTGGCAAAATTTCGAAATATATATGGAATAAACAATGTATTCTCTCAGAAAATACAGAAATAGAAACACACTCAGATTTGGACAATGACTATTTAGTTTTTACCATCGAGAAAATATAAATTGATTCTTCTACGTTTGTAAGAGTTAAGACCTTCCAGTGATGATATTAGTTGCAAACCAGAGATACCTCATACTTTCCTCTCTGTGTTTGTCTCTCATAAGAAGAGCAACTTCCTCAATAGTTTAATCCAGGGCCGTACCTGTGTTTCGTGAGGCCTGAGGCGAATTTCAAAATTTGGGCTCCTAAATCATAGCAAGCAATCTTTTTTTTTTCTTTTTTTTTTAATTTATAAGAGTTTTATGGAATTAAATTTGTTAAGTTAAAATCAACAATAAAACAACAAATAAAATAAAATAAATATACAAAATATTTATATTATAATGTTTTAAACGATAAGTTTAATACAACTCGTCTTGCGATTTTAGAGACAAAAAATCAATCAATTTTGAATAGTCAAATTGTCCAACCATAAGGCAAATTCATAAGAATGACAACATAAATTAATACATAATAATTAATTAATCAGTTGATAGTCAATATTCATGAAGCCCTCATAAGTCATAAGTCAAAGGCAATTGAATCCATATATACCATCATCGAGTTATAGAAAACACTCAAAGAAAACCATAATAAAATTTCTTGAACTCATGCCTCCTATTTTATGTGATTGGGTTGAAACTATACAAGTTTTGTGGAGATGTTTGCATATCTTACATTGAAAAGTCAATCTAATATTCCATCAATATCAAAGAAAAATAACAACCAAAATGTGTGCAGCATGTTCAGAAAGTAGGTGAAAATTTTGATCCAAAGAAAGGGGTATAGAGTACACTTAAATTGGTAGTAATATTGGTACACATCCTCACTTTTGTTACACAATGAAATGAGTATTTCTAATCCAAAACTTGCAGTACCACCAAAACCACCACATTCACACTTGGCACCAAAATAGAGACTAAATAATAGAGCAATGCAAAAATTCCAATGAAGCAAAGTAAATAATCCCACAACAAACTTATTATTGAAAATACTTGTATGAACAACAAAAAAATATATAATTTCCCAAACTCTCAAACCTCAGTGGCTTTTTGTTTCTTACATGATCATAAAATATAAAGTTTTCCGAATGTGAAATAAAAAGAAAAAGAAAAAATAAATAATGTAGGCACACAAATACAAAATCAATAAAAATC